ATGCATTGTGTATGCCTTTTCAATTCATAGCATTGCGTATGCTAGGTTGCATGTTAGAGCATTGTGTATGCCATGTTACATCGAGCATTGTGTATGCCATTTCATAGCATTGCGTATGCTAGGTTGTATGTTAGTCGCATTGTGTATGCCATCTCATTTGCATCGTGTTTGGGATAGGAGTTATCCCAAGCACGGGAAACGAGAGACGTTTCATACTCCGAGTGACGGAACGTGTCTCAATTCCCGGTCACCGACACTCCGGATTACCCATGATGGAGTTTAGGTCTTGCTGTGTTTTCATGTGCATACATTTCACATTGAGTCGTGCAATTCGACTCCTCGGCCATCATGCATCGACATGCGTAATTGGTGGCACGAGGATCGAGGACTACACTCCCTGAAGAGTAGTCATGCATACATATGTGAAAATACTTTGCCATGTCCCTTTCTTGTTCTCTATTGCAGCAAATCAGAAATCAGCAGCTTTCTAAAGCCTTGCACAGCATTCTGGCATCAATTGCAAACAGAGGCGAATCGGGGCATCGCAATGGATTTCCGTGCAACGCAACTCAAGCATACATCATTCATCATTCGGAACAAGAGCTGAGGCAGTCCATTTTATGATTTGCATGCTAATTTACTTACTTTCCTAGTTAAGTTGTTAATTGATTAGGGTTTTGTACTTATTCTGACTATATTATTATTCGGACTGTATTATTCTTTCGGACCCCTCCGAGCGAGGGCACAATTATAATAAGTGTGCGTGTGTGTAATGTATGTCTTCCAACCCCACGTCTTTCTTCCTTTTATTTACCAGCTTATGATGGTTAGATTAGGACATGTTTCAATTAGCATACTTATGCTCGCATGTTTGCATCCATTCATTTGTCTTGCATGCACCGAGCTCGGCGCATCATACTAACTGCATTGTATTTTAATTCTGAGTTGAATACTTGTTAGTTGTTGCATTTCACATGTCACTTTAGAATAGCCAAGCTTATTGTAGTTGCATTTTTGCATGTTGCATTAGGCATTTCTGTATAGTTTACATCATGCATGATTTCTAACATAGCTTCTGTTTTGGCTTGGAGTACTCGGTAAGTTTTATGCTTTAGTATCCTTGAATGCGTGTGAGTGATTGCCATGATAGCATGCTTACCATGAGGCTATGTGCTTATGTGATATATCTGCCTAAATGCCTGTGGGTGAAAGTCGGACTATCTGAATTGGAATGATGCATTGATTGTGAGTTTTAAGCCCACTAGATAGTGTCAAAATCATGTTTTCTAAGCCCACCTGAGGGTGGCAAAATCTGCATTTTAAGCCTACTTGCGAGTAGTAAACCGCTTTCAAATAAACAAACATGAGATGTTTTGTTCCAATTCAGGTGATCCAGTCTATACTTGTATGCTATGCGCATCACATAGTAAATCTAGGCTAATAACCGGAATAAGAACGCATAATGATTTCAAAACTAGATATCATGGTTAGTGGAGGCCGATCTTTGATCGGGCGAGCGGGGGTGCTCACGAAGTGACCTTCCCCAATCGTACCCAAGTTCCCGAGCTGAGGCAACTTTGGTGATGACGGACACGTGGCCTTAGGCAACGAGTCAGGGTTTCCTAAATTCCCTCAAAATAAATATTTAGGTGGCGACAGTCCATTTTTGGCACTTCTTTTAAAAAAATCTGTTTTCAAAAACGATTTGCCGGATTTTGACTCTTTGATGATTTCATCGGTCTTGCATTGCACTCTGCGAAATTAGATACAGGATCGTGACACAAATTGAGTCCGAACTGTAGTGAGGCCCAAGGGCGCGTCTACAGTTTCTGGTGTTTTTTTTAGTTGGTTTCTTGCCAAATTAAAAATTGGATATTAATTTTGTTTAATCCTCTATTATGTATGGAATTATATTTTTGAGATTGGATTATACTTGATTTGTATGGAATTTTTTTTGAAAATATTAATTTGATGTCAAATATGATTTATTTATTTATTTGTGGTTGATAGTGAAATGTGTGTATGTTGCGGAATGGTTGCTAATTTTATCAGTATATAGATCATGTTATTTATAAAATGGTTAAAAAACTTTTGGCTACTATATATTTAGTAGCAAAAAATAAAAATAAAATGGGGAAAAACTTTTTGCTACTAAATATTTAGTAGCTAAAATAAAAGTAGACTTTAGGCGACTAAGAATTTTGTAGCAAAAAAGAATAAAATGAAAAAAATAAAAATAAATAAAAAGAGGAAAAAACCCTTTGGCGACTAAAATTTTGGTCACTATAGATACTTCAAGTTTTTGCGACCAAAGTTTTAGTAGCGAAAAATAAGATTTTTGACGATTAAAAATATTAGTCACCATTTATAGGACTTTTGGCGACTAAAAATTCAATCGCCAAATGTGCATTTTGTTGTAGTAATATAGTAAAATGACAACTTATAAAAATCATAATTCTAAACCAAATCGAGTTACCAGTTTAATTTAGTTTGATTTCAAAAATTTTATGCCTCAATTTAGTTTTAAATTCAATAAAATCATAAATAGTTATTTGAAAATCGAACCATACTCACGTCTATGTATAGCTCTCTAGATTTCGCACATTAAAAAGCCAACTTGGAGGGAGTTAGTGGCTCTTTTTGTCATTCCATTTCAAAAATTCTATGGTACCCCCACTAATTTGGAGGGAGGTAATGGGCCAATGGTAGCTCTTTTTGTTATCCCCATTTAGAAAATTGTATCATATGAAGCTTTAGTTACGATATTTGTAGTTTTAATTATGATTTATTGTAGTGTTAATTTTAACTTATTATGATATTAGTTATAATATTATTTTAATTATTCCTTATGCAGTGTTTTTTTTTTTTTTTTTTGAATTATGACATTTTTAATAATAAATATCTTAAATATGATAGTTTATATATGGTATACACAATCGTATACATAGTATTAGCCCATATGTTATATGTCAATGTAATGAATATCTCTTATTTATTCCCTAATGAAGCAAATACTCGGTTGCAACCTAACGTATCTCCTAGAGGGGGCCATGGCCTGGACCTTTAAATCCACTTAAAAGCTGCCTACCAAACTTTCATGGGCTAATTCATTTGTCAAAAATGTTGTATATGAAAATATTTTTGAGAAATTTGGATTAAAAGGAAGTAACCGAAAAGAAATAGAAATAATTTAATGAACAACTAATAAATACCATTGAAGATCAAACAGCAATTACTGAATATATATATATATATATATATATCTATTTTTTTATAAACAAAATTCATTTTTTGAAAATGTTACAATTTTCGAATTGATCTAAATATTTCCATGGATGATATACATTGAGAGCTCTACAAAATGAACAATTCAGATTATCGAAACGAGATCTGTAGAAGGCTCTACCACCCTCCCCCTAAAAAAAAAAAAAAAAAAAAAAAAAAAAAAAAAAAAAAAAAAAAAAAAATCT